TGGATAAACTTCGTCATCACCTCACACACAGAGTGCACCTGAGCATCACACAGCTGAAACCAGGCCGAGGAACTTTTCACACCTTGCCAAGGACTGATGCAGCTGCTGTTTCTTAACATCCTGCTCAACACCAGCTGCCTTGGGCCATACTAACCCACAGTCCCCACTAGGAACCTCTATTTAGGTGAGGACTCAGTTGTTGTATATTCACTGCAACAGAGTCTGTTATTTCTGCAGTTTGCTGTGCACAAGAACATAGAGTTTCTTACCTAGGCAGATAGCTTCTCCTTTCGTGGTGATGACAACAATCTCCTGATTAAGCTCAATACCATCTTCATACCTCAGGACACCAGGCAGCATAATCTTGGCTCCATAGCAAATGGCATTAACCTGCAAATGTAGGGAACAGGAGGGCTTATGAATTATTAGAGAATAAAAACAAGGTAAGAAGTGCCTCTACTATTTTAGCTTTCCATTGCCATTACTGTTCCAGCAATAACATCCCTACATATCTATTTCTTATTGTCCACTACATAAACCTTGGGGGCCTTGGAAAAAGCAAGCAATGCACCAATCATAGCAAACAACATGCAAGGCAGATCTCTTTTAACCATCAGCCTCCTCCTGAAGTGAGGAGAGCAGCTTCTCTGCCACTCAATTCTTGGCATCTTACTGCTGACCTGGCAGTGGCCCAGACGAGGTCCTACACAGCTCACAATCAGGACAGCATTGGACACCACGTTGATCCTGATCCCCCATTTATTATACTAGCTGTACAAGTTAGGAGGACACTTTGTAGTCTCTAGCTGTCAGCTGGCAGTGTCTCAAGAACTCACCGCACTGTCTTTCATGACTAGCCGCTTGTGTGAAGTCAGCAGTTTCTCCAGTGGCAGGATAACTCTTCGCAGGTAGTTGTCATCCTTGTTGTTATCGTACTGCCACTGTGCATCCAGTACATCATGCATAGTCACCATGTTGTCCTGCAAAGACACAACCCCTCTAAACTCTACCAGCCACCAACTCGAAATACACACAAGAAAACAGCTAAAGTCCAAAAGCAAATAGTGTACTGAAAAGGAGTGAAAAACAGATGGTCAACTCAGAAGCATCAAAAAAGCATCCTAAAAGAGGCAAGAATACTTTCCATCAACAGCTTGAGATCAGCCTGACTTGTGCTACCACAGACTTCAACCTTCCTAATCTCAGACAGCACTTGGATCTAGTGTATAAGGTCTGTCCCCATGAAACTTTGAAATATGACCAAACTTAAATACCTGGGACATCTAGACAAAGATTACTGAGTAGAAGTCTAAATTAACCAGCTCTTCAATCTGTGACATGGAATAAATTCTTGAAGCAGCTGTAAGCACTTAACACCAGAATTCAGAAATGACTGCCAGTGATTACAGCTGTGGTAAGAACACAGATGGACAGGGAAGCACTTGCACTCTAATACTCATGCTTTGCAAGGAAAGAAATTAGTTCTGGAGTTTGGACTGGCAGCAGGATCCAGCTACGACCAGACTGAAAACACTGTAAAGCTGTCCAAGATCACACAAGACTGCATCTCCCAAGCTCATTTCAATGAAGCGCGTTCTCTGCATTGTGCCCCGACACCAAGCTGTCACAGATTGCCAAGCAGACACCTCACGTGCCTTGACTCGTGGCACACGCATGGTTTGTAGGCTGAGAAATGCAGGTGGCATAAAATAAACTTTCAGTCACCATGGTGCACTTCCCAGCCACTCACTGTCCCAAAGCTTAATTACCAGAACAGGGGCAACACCCTGAACTGAACTCAACGCTTTGGTTACAGACCATTATGGCAAGAGCTCCCATGTTTTTGGGGCTATTCACAAAACTCCTCCCAGCTGCTGCACAACTATACCTTCTCCTAACACTGTAAAACTAGTACAGTTCCAAGGAACTGTTGCAATTCTGACCATTTCAAATTTGGTGGTTATAGTTAGAGCTACCACTCTTACCTTCTCTCCCAGGATGCCTGAGCGCACTCTGCGGAGTTCCTGCATCTGGCCCCCCACACCAAGCAGCAAACCAAGGTGAACGCAGAGTGTTCGGATATATGTGCCCGCTTCACAGCTCACCCAGAAGATACCTGAAATGCAGGACAGGACAGAAGACTATTTAAATAGATACCTAGAAACTCCCTCTGAGAGAAGCTGTATGTCCAACCCTTCACAGAGCCATCAGCCTGGGGTGATAGATGAAGGTCATCTTTGCACCAAGTGCTAATGCCATCTAATTGACATCATTTGGCTCTTCAATGAAGGATGCAACAGTACAAATAATAGATGGGATTTGCTTCTTAACACACCAAAGCATGCATGGAACAGTTACTGCTTGATGGTGATGAGGATATATGTCTTAAGACGTCGGTCAAGAATAGGAAGCAGCCCATTTCACAGGAAATTTTATCAGCTGTTAGCTTAACAGGAAGACGACAGGAAAGCCCTGTTTTACCTAATCTTCTCTCAGGATCATACTCGACCAGCTTGCTCTCATAGATGGTTCTGACTCTCAGTTGTCGTTTAACAGCAGCAATGAGGGGTGGTCGCTGAAACAGCGCGCCTGTCAGAGTTTCTATTGCCTGAGGGTAGATGCAGAAGAAGTAACAGCTCACACCTGTGCCATGAAGTAGGAGCACCTTGGGGTATCCAGCAACTACAACCACTTCCATGAATGAGAAACCACAAGGTTCATCGTAATTTTGTGATGTCATATTTAATAAAGCAGATCTGAACCAGTGATGTGGTCAAAATGCTACCCCAGCTGCCAGTGACCACGGCTGGGCTTCTTCATCAGGTAGCAGCATGTGATCAGACATTATCCCTC